AGAGAAGAGAAGAGAAGAGAAGAGAAGAGAAGAGAAGAGAAGAGAAGAAAAAATAGAAGAGAGAATAAGAATAGAATAGAATAATAAAAATAGGATAGAGAATAAGAATAGACTAGACTAGGCTAGAAGAGACCTTGGAGGTACTCTAGCCCAACACCCTGCTCAAACAAGAGATCCTATACCATTTTAGAAAATGTCTCTTCTTAAAATCCTCCAGTGATGGAGCACCCACAACTTCTGGAGGCAAGCTGTTCCACTGGTTAATTATCCTCACTGTCAGGAAGTTTCTGCTGAATTTCAGGTTGCTTCTGTCCTTGATGAATTTCCACCTACTGTTTCTTCTCTTTGCCTTCTGGGGCTTTGGAAAATAAATCGACCTCCTCCTCTTTGCAGCAGTATTGGAAGACTGCTATCATGTCCCCACTAGTCCTTCTTTTCTCTAGACTAGCCAACCCAATTCCTGCAACTGTTGTTCATAGGTTTTAGTCTCCAGGCCTTTAATCATCTTAGCTGCTCTTCTCTGCACTTTTTCCAAAGTCTTAACATCTCCTTTGTAATGTGGTGAGCAAAACTGGATGCAGTATTCCGGATGTGGCCTTACTAAGGCTTTATAAAATGGTATTTTCACCTGATTTTGATTCTATGCCTCTGTTTATACAACTAAGGATTGTGTTAGCTTTTTTGGCACCTCAGCAGTCATGAGTAGCATGCATGGGAGGCAGGGGGGGGAGGGAGGGAGGGAGGGAGAGGGGGGAGGGAGGGAGAGGGAGAGAGAGAGAGAGAGAGAGAGAGAGAGAGAGAGAGAGAATGGAAGTTGGGTATTTATGATGCTGATCTACAGAAAAGCTTTTACAGTTAGGGATATATATTTTTTTGTTTAGATGAAACAACATAAGAGTATCCAAGGACATTTGGATAATTAATTTTTCTCACATTCTTTCTTGGCTCTAGGGCGAGGCATCTTGGAAACAGGAATCCGGTAATGACATTATAATTCAAACCACTTTTACGCAACATGTGCAATTTGACTTAGGAAGATAAGAAATGAAGGCTTAAATAAGAAGGCCCCAATCCAAGATTTAAATGAGGCACTCACTTGTTCTAATTGGCAATGAGTTAAGACATTCAAGATTATTATTTTTTTTACAATTTTTCACTTACCAAGCTGGATGCAGTAACTTCACTATAGAGAAGTCCAAAAGGCACAATCAGAAAATGTTCCTGCTCCAAATTTACTCTGACCTGCAAATATAAAGAAGAAAGCTCTGAAAGCCACAATCTGAAATGCAGAAAATTCAGATGGATTGAAAAATCAATAAATCAAAAAAAAATCTGCTGATTTGCCCAGGCGGTCCTGGGTTCTTCCCTCTTTGGTTTCTCAGCAGAAATGATCCTGGATTCCTGCTAACCTCATCAGCAATTCCATGGTTGAAAATAGGCTTCGGCAGAGAGAATCCCTGTTTTGGATCTCAGCAAAAACAGCAAACCTAATACCTCCCCTTTAAGGCAGGGGTCTCCAAACTTGACAGCTGTTAAGACTTGTGGACTTCAACTCCCAGAATTCCTCCTCCAGGCATGTTAGCTCAGGAATTATGGGAGTTGAAGTCCACAAGTCTTAAACTTGCCAAGTTGGAAGACCCTTGCCTTAAGCGCAAAGGGAGGGAGGGAGGAAGAAAAGGGATAGAAGGGAGGAAAGATGGGAGGGAGGGAGGGAGGAAGGAAATGAAAAGGAAGGAAAGAAACAGAAAGGGAGGAAGGACGAGTACTATTCTGCTGTGCTCACAAGACTCCTCACCCTGGACAGGCACCTGAAGGCTGGACCTGCCACTTTACACCCAGGAGGTGGCAAATTCCAAGGGAAGGAAAGGCCCACCACCCACCCCTGAAACAGCAGGGCGGGTCCCCCCAGTTCATGCTCCCAGCATGAAAAAGGCAGAAGACAAACTTCTTTTGCCTTTGAAAGAAAAAAGACAGAAGCAGAAGTCACCTATTGCAGGGCAGTCATTCTGTGTGAAAATCTGTCCCACTGGGGGTTGAGGGTGCGTGGGCATTCTCATGTAGAATGACGGTCCAGAGATAGGTGGCTTCTGGTTTTGTCTTTCTTTTTCTTTTTCTTCTTCTCCCAGGCTAACAGACTTTGTGCAATTTAGTTTATGCGGATTATAACTTTATTGCTTTGGGGCTTGGCTTGGCTTGAACGGGATTGGAATTTCCCCGTTTTCTTTCTCCTAGGGAACTGCGTACTCACAGTGATGTGATTGTAAATAAGCTGCGACCAGCCAAAGAGATCGGCCAGCCTGTAGAAAGCAGCCAATTTGCACCGTAGTAGTTTCTCTCCTTTCTCGTAAGCGATGGAATCTGATCCCCGCAGATCGTTCACAGGCGTCACCATCCCGAGGCCTGAAAAGAAAAGGTACATGGGGAAAAAAATGCAATTTTAATTTGAGCACTGAATTAAAACGGTTGCCAATTACTAAAACACAGAACTACAGGTAGCTCTTTACAACAGTGACCGCTCAAAGTTGCAATGGCAGCGCAAAAATAAGTGACTTAAGGAACGTTTTTCAGAGTTACAAATTTTGCAGCATCGCCACGACCAGGGATCAAAATTCAGAGGCTTGGAGACCAGTTCATATTTACGACCGTCGCTGCATCCCAAGGTCATGTTGATCCCCTTTTGAGACCTTCTGACAGGGAAAGTCAATGGGGAAGCCAGATTCAGTTAATGACCGGGTTACTAATTTCTATCAATGGCAGTGATTTACGTAAGAACTGCGGCAAGAAAAGCCGTAAAATGGGGCCAAACTCACTTTAAAAACAACAGAAACTTGGGGCTAAACTGCGGTCATTAAGTCGAGGACTACCTGTACAGCCAAGGTGTCATCAGCCGCCGCCCCCCCCCCCCCCCCAGGACTCACTCATGTTTAAGGCAGTCATGCCTCCTTGAGGAGCAGGTGGGTAGACGTTGGGAACGCTGGCCGTCATGAAGTCTGCAATCTGTTGTAGAGCCAGCAGGCCTGTAGGATTCTTCCCTTTCTTGAACTGTTCCTGGATCATGGATTCCAACTCTTCACAAAATGCCTAATAAAAGAGCAATACTGCCTGTGAAAAGAGTGCTTGACAGAGCCGTGACTTGACTTGGTGCCCAACTCCTTGCGTAAGAACAGGCTCTTCACTGGGGTGCAGGAATGGAGCAGAAATTTTCAGGACCTGGCCTGAAAATTTCAGCTCCTCTCAGCGGGCCACTCTGAGGGAAATTCTCTGGAGGGAATTTCAGCTCCCCTCAGCAGGCAACCCTTTCAGCCAGCCTCCAGAAATAGGGAGGGGGGTCTTCTCAGCAAGAGTCATCAGCTTGCAAACCTTCCCTACTGGCTTCCCCAATGATTTTATGGGGAAGCCGGCAGAGAAGGCTGCAACTGGGGACCACATAATTACAAAGTACTTGACAACCCGGCGGTAAGTGCAATCAGGTTTGCTGAGCACCCAGATCATGCGATCGCAGGGGTGGTGGTGCAACATTTTGCCTGATGGCCAGAAGTTGTTGATGACCCATAAAGCATCTTTACTGAGACTGTTGTAATTCTGTTCCATCATTAAAATGGTTGTAAATCAAGGAGCATCTGTAGGATTTTTCAAGGAGGGAGTGTGTCGCAGAATATTATGCAGCTTTGATTATACTGGTTTACCAATTTTATGTAGGAAATAATTTGGCCTGCAGCACCCCTTAATTCTCTGAAGTTCATGTACTGCAGTGTTTAGAATGTAATATTCTGGTATTTTATCACTATTTTGGTTCAATAACAACAGCAAGAAGAAAAATATATTATTTCTCCAAACTATTTCTCCAAATGAAACCGCATTAGAAATAGGAGCTAAGGGACAAACAGTGCTTTTCGAGGAAACACGCACACGTACACTTTAAGAGGCTTTTCTGACTTCGGTCACACATTCAACCTATCTTCTTTGAAAGTGTCTTTAAAGCACAGAGCATTTTAATTAAATTAATTAAATTTTCTCATTTTTTTTCTCTCGCAGCTTGCTATGCATTCTCAGCATCTATAACTTGTTACGTGCTTCTTTCCTATAGTCATGCCTTGGGGGGGAAATGTGATTATATATTCTTACAGGGCTTTGGAGGATCATGGAAACTCTCTTCTTCTGTTCCATCATATTGAAATCCTGGCGAAGGTCGGGAGCCATGTTCCTCTCTCGCAAGTAGTCAGGGTTATTTTCATCAACTCTGTCAAAGTATCTCTCTTTGTGTGGAGCTGTTGGAGGTGGTGAAGTTACCACCTCCGCTCTCGTTTCACCATTCATAGTACAGTTTCAATCGTGCTGCAAAAGTGAGAAGAAAACAATTTTTTTTTAAAAAAAAGATATCAAGCAGTTTCTGTTAAAGCAACTGGAAACAGAACAAGCACAATTGATCCCAGAAATTATGTCGCTAGGTGAGAAATTTGTTAAGTGAGTTTTGTCCCATTTTACGACCTTTCTTATTCCAGTTGTTAAGTGAATCACTGCAGTTGTTAGTCACATGATGAAGTGAATCTGGCTTTCCCATTTGCTGATCAGAAAGTTGTAAAATATGATTCACATGACCTCGGGAAACAGCAACGGTCATAAATATGAACCAGTTGTCAAGCATCTGAATGTAAATCGCATAACCACTGAATCAGAATAGAACTGGAAGGGACCTTGGAGGTCTTCTAGTCCAGCCCCCTTCTCAAGCAGGAGAACCTAGACAATCTCAGACAAGTGGCTGTCCAGCCTCTTCTTGAAAAGTTCTCCAGTGATGCAGCACCCACAACTTCTGAAGGAAACTTCTGTTCATGGGGGTGTTGAAACAAGTCATGAGTGTGAAAAATGGTCGTAAGTCACTTTTCAGTGATAGAACTTCCTTTTTCACACTACAAATCTAAGTAAGCATTACAATGCTATGTCGAGGGCTACTAACCAAGGAGCTGCTGATCCAGTTCTACAGAGGAATGATGGAGTCTGTCATCTGCACCTCTATAACTGTCTGGTTTGGTTCTGCAACCCAACAGGACAGACACGGACTCCAGAGAGTGATTAGGACTGCAGAAAAAACAATGGCTACCAACCTGCCTTCAATCGAGGACATCCATACTGCACAAATCAAAAAGAGGGCTGTGAAAATATCTACAGGACCCTGCACATCCCAGACATAAACTGTTTCAACTCCTTCCCTAAAAACGACGCTATAGAGCATTGCACACCAGAACAACTAGACGCAAGAACAGTTTTATCCCAAACGCCGTCACTCTGCTAAACAAATAATTCCCTCCACACTGTCCAACTATTTGCAAAGTCTGCACTACTATTACTATTAATCTTCTCGTCCCTCCTTATCGCCCATCCCCTCCCACTTGTGACTGTATGACTGTAACTTTGTCGCTTGTATCCTTACGATCTATATTGACTGTTTCCTAGTATGATTTGATTGCTTATTTGTACCCTACGACTATTATTAAGTGTTGTTGTACCTGATGAGTCTTGACTCTTGACGAACGTATCTTTTCTTTTTATGTACACTGAGAGCATTTGCACCAAGACAAATTCCTTGTGTGTCCAACCACATTTGGCCAATAAAAGAATTCTATTGTATTATCTGCAGAGCTCTCGTGACTACCAGTTAATTTTCATAAATCACATTTTATATTTTTTTATACAGTCCCAAAAATTCAAAAAAGAAAATTCCCAGTTTTAAGGATTCCACCTCGACTTACAGTAGTTTAGTGACCGCTGAAAGTTACAACAGCATTGAAAAAAGGGACTTAGGACCGTTTTTCATATGATTGCAGCTGGTCACAGGCTCAAAAATTCAGACGGTTGGCAACAGATTTGCGCTGATAACAGCTGCAGTCTACCAAGGTCACAGATCCCCTTTCTGTGACCTTCTAAGAAACAAAGTCACCGGGGAAGCGGAACTCGCTTAACAACCGTGTGACTAACTCAGCCACTGCAGTGATTCACTTAACAACTGTGGCAAGAAAGGTCGTAAAACAGGGCAAGATTCGCTGAACAAACTGCAATAGAAATTTGGGGCTCCATTTTGGTTGTTCAGTCGAGGACTACTGATACAGATTTCCTGCACCTCAACTCTCACTGACATTTATGGATCGCGCTGTGGGTTTGCAGGGAACACCATATTTTTTTGTATCGCCCCTGCCAGGAGGCCAACTCCCAGCCTGTTGATGAAAAGGGGGGTGGGGGGAGAGACTGTCTATTTTCTGCAGGAAACCCTGGACCAGATCTCCATCCGGGGGCTTCCTGCCAACCGTGGGGGCTCTCTGTTTAAAAGCAGAGGGAGGAAAGCTGCAGCTGGCTAGGTCCCAGGAAAATGCAGCCAAGACCACTCAACCCCCCCCCCCCCACTTCTCCCTCTGAATCGCCAACTATGCAGAAAGGATTTTCTGATTCAAGGTCTTTCTTTGAAGACGTTTCACTTCTCATCCAAGAAGCTTCTCCAGCTCTGACTGGATGGTGGGGAATGGAAGGATTTATATTCCTTGCGGACAGCTGGTCATTTGCATCCTTTTAGAGGGCCGTTGAGGCCACAGCAGAGGTTTATCTCTGTGTCCTCAGGGTCCCCTGAGCGGTGCAAATAGGGATCAAAGAGGCCATCTGTGTCCAAACTGAACAGCCCTCTCTCCACAGAGGTGAAAGGGATATGACATCATCTATATCCACTCTACAACACAGATCCTTTCAGCAGTTCCAAGGAGGCTCCACACACCCATCTGCACCATTCAGGTAACCCTGTGGACACAGAGATAAACCTCCAAGTGGCCTGAAGGACTCTCTAAAAACAATGCAAACGACCAGCTGCCTGCAAGGAGTATACATCCTTCCAATCTGAGCTGAAGAAGCTTCTGGGATGAGAAATGAAATGTCTTCAAAGACAAAACAAAAAAATCCAGTTTCCTCTTGAAAAAAAAAAAGCGCCATCGGGACAACCATGAATGACCTGGATGACTGAGAAACTCCACAGGCAGCTATGCAGAAGCTTCCTTGGGGTCATCCTCAGCCAGGAAAGGTCTAGAGGAGCGTAAATGAAGATCAACAGGGCTGGAAAAAGCCACTAAAAATGGCCAAGAAACGGCAGTGGGAGGACATACAGACGGAGAGCACTTTGCTCCGGGAGTCCAAAGTTAAGAGCGGAGCAGTTTTGTCTCCTCTGTCCCTCCGCATGCGTTTAGATTTTCTTTTGAGACTCTTGTGGGGGTACTAGCACAGAGAAGTCCAATTTGAAGGAAAAAGCAGGAAAGAACAGCCTGGAACCCTTCTACAGCACATGGCCGTCGCACCCAAGTGTTATAGAAATAAATAGATAAAATAAATTGTTCTGCCTGGAGTGCATTAGCATTCGGTTTCCGTCTCTGAAACGCTGTCAAAAAAACCCCACCCTGAATGGAGGCCAAGAGAAGTTATAAATCCAAGCGCTTGACAGAGGGAAAGAGTTCAGCTCGAACAAAAGGCAGATGTTTTACTGGGATCTGTGCAAGACCTCTCCTCCGTGCAACTCTTTAAAAGTAGGAACAAAGGAAAGCTTTCACAGAAACAATCATTATAGCTTTTACTACCCTTGGAGGTCTGAAAGGGAGGGTGGTGGCCTTGTTGCCCCTGAATGGATTTTAAACGGAAAGAATTCCAAAAAGGTGAAGGCAAACATCTCCATCTGGTTAATGCTATTTGGAAAATCATACTTGACGGTCTGGCGGGGGGGGGGGGGGGGGGGAGAGAACAAAAATGTCCCATATTTGTAAGATACTTTTCCGGAATTAAGCAGACCGTTTACATTAAGACTGAGTTTCTCCTCTGTAAACCAAGGGGAGGGGTGAGACTACTCCAGTTCCACCTGGCCTTGTATGTTTACATTATGAATGGCTGTTCTCTGGCACACCTCTTACTTAGAAACCTTTTTTTTTCCCCACCCAAAGCCATTTTGGTATTCCAAAATGTAAAAAACAGCAAGAGACTGCACTGCTGTGCTCCAAGGGAACCACGTTCCTAGAAAGCGAAGGTAACCTGGGTAGTAGAGTCTGGCTGGAGACACCGAAGGGGGAAAAGGACCAGATAGGTACCCAGAGCCCAGGAACTCCCCAAACGCTTCACCTCTACAGAGAACAGACTAAAACTCCCTTTGCTCCCTTTCAGCCGTAAAAGCAGGAGTGCAGGAAGGCCGTTTCCAACTGTTGACTCTAAATGAGAAAAAAGAACAAGGGTTTTTCTCAAACATAAAGGGGTGGGGTGTCCCTTTTTAAGATGAGTTCAGCTGCCTAGGACTATGTGGATGCATTTTTCATGCTGTTTTCTTGGCAGCCGTACACACATTCTCCTTGCGGGATCCTTTCAGTCCCCTTCTAGACTACTAGAGTTTCCTGCCGGTCTCTGCCCTGAGTGGCCAGAAAGATCTTGCTAAGCCCAACCTAAGATGCTGGGAAACTTGTGTTCGTTACATCTGTCACACGAGCAACCGCAGAGAAGCAGGGATGAGAGATTACCATGATGGGAAAAGGCAGATTACAAGGTTGGGTAGGTAAAAGAGAACTGAAACCTTCCTTAAGTCTTGGGCAGGGATCGACAGCCTTAAGCATTCAAAGAGCCACAAAGATCCTAACTGGACCCCCCCCCCTTTCAATTCTGGAGCTGACCGGAAGTTCCCCCACCATAGAGTCTCCTCCTAGTGTGGTGTCCTTTTTCCTCTACCTCTCCGAACCAAAAGCTCTATCAATTGTGGAGCCGACTGGCGACAGGGAGCTGCAGCAGAGGGCTGAAAGAGCCACATGCGGCTCCAGAGCCGCAGGTTGCTGACCCCCTGGTCTTGGGGAACAGGATAGCATTTGGAAGCCAGCCAGGCAGGGCTCCTCCCAGACTCACTGGGCAGAAGCGGGAGAGAAAGTAAAGCACCACAGGCTTGCCCAGTCCTGTTATGCCAACTTCTTCACTCGAGAAAGGAGGGCTCTAGCTTGGCAGGGGGTTTGTTTCTAAGCTGGTCTACCCTGAAGGTTTGGCAATAAATCGCACCACAGATCCGGACAATTTTGGGAAAAAAAGAAAAGCATTACTCTTGAAATGCAGTCAATGATTGCTCTTAAATGCTGCAGTGGCATATTTTGTTATCCCAGCCTGGGTTCAAATTAATCCATCGTAAATAAGGTCACCATAGCATAGAAACCTATAATATCACATCATCAGGGCACCAATGCTTACATAAACAGACATAAGGGTATACATTTAATGGCCGATCTCGGGAGGATAGAAGGCTGAGTCACCTTGAGCCCATCAGGAACCAATTCCTGGCTGTGAGTAGAGTTAACCTGCAATACTGCATTCTAACCATTGTGCCACCCCAACTCCTATTTATTAAATTTATATGCCAACCATCTTCCTATCCAAAGGTATGCTAGGTGGCTAGATCTTATTTACAAGCTTTCAAATTAAATTTATTTTAAAATATGGCTCTAAGTAGGATCACCAAACTGTTTAAAAACTTTAGGATTACTTGATAGCCCTTGAAGCTTAATCTACATTCCATGCAGTTTAATCAATAATTTTAAAAATTGTGGGGTGGATACCCATGCCTTTTTACAACAACAGAACTCTCACACAGGTGAGAGAATTAATGATGGTTTAGGTGCAACAAGAAGTGCTCCAGAACACCAGACAAGATGATGTATGTGATCAAACGTGACAAGCTTCAATCTGGAGAGCTTCTAAATGAATTTAATGAGGTTGGAGAAAGAAAGGGCAGTAGAGAAGGAGAATGTGAGAGGAGTGCTATTAACATTGGCAGGGACAAAGATATAGTGAGTAGCAGGGATGTGTTATGTTTGTCTAATATCCACAGTACTTCTTTCAAATCATTTTTGAGATGTGCATTTTTGGAAATATTTGAAACAAAACAAACAGCTGGATGGAGATGGCAAAAAAGCTATCAGGTAACAATGAAAACGCAAAACCATTCAACTCCTATCTTTGCAGAGTCTTCTAGAAAAAAAGGGAGCATGCATTCCTTCTAGTCCCTGGTCAGGAAGGGATTTTGGAGATCTTCTAGAGAGTCTAGACCAACCCTCTATCCTCTATGGCAGGGGTTCCCAACCTGGGGTGCTCGCAACCCCTGGGGGTGCCAAACGATATTCCAGGGGGGTGCGAGAAAAGTCCAGGTAAATAATAGGATATTGGCTATATGTTGGCATTTTTATTTATTATTTATTTCAGGGGGTGCGAGGTTCGAGTGAAATTTCTTTAGGGGTGCGGGGCGAAAAAAAGGTTGGGAACCACTGCTCTATGGAAATTCTCAGGCCAGGGAATCCAGTGATGACAAGAGTCATCATTTGGGAGTTAAGGTCCTCAACATCTTAAACTTCCCAGGATTGAAAAACACTGCTATGCAGCAAATAGGCAGTTTGCCTTTTCTTCTTTCTGAGCAAGGAACAAGATGCGTTTTCTGCTTTGTTTTCACATGCAGCTGTTAATTTAATTTTAAACGGCAGACCGATACAGCTTATGCTAATTCCCAAAATGATTTACATCCAGAAGGCAAATGAGGCAATGCCAGACAGCCCCACTTGTTATGCCCGGAGCATCAACGATGTACGTTTGGCAGCCCTTAAGTGCTAAGTCACCACTGGGTGATAGCCAATCACAAGCCATTGATACAGACACAGCATTAATTCCCTAAATGTCATGCTCCAGCATCTACTCCATGAATACCAGGGAAGATATATGGCAACTCGTTTTCCTACGTGGCAACCACTCATTCCAGAACACTTTGTACCGAACAGGCCACAGGTAGTTCTTGACTTACAACAATTGAGACCAGAAATTATACTGCTAAGCGAGAAACTTGTTAAAGTAAGTTCTGTTCCATTTGTCGACTTTTCTTGCCACATTTGTTAAGTGAATCCCTGCCATTGTTCAATTAGTAACGCGATTATTAAGTGAATCTGACCTCCCCATGGACGTTGCTGGCCATAAGATCACAAAATACGATGGCATGATCCCGGGACACTGAAACCATCATAAATACGAACCATTCTGTCAAGCATCTGATTGTAAATCACGTGACCATGTGAATGTTGCAACGGTCATAAGTGTGAAAAACGGTCCTAAGTCACTTATTTTAGTGCTGTTGTAACTTCAAACAGTAACCAAGTGAACTGCTGTAAGTTGAGGACTACTTGTATTCGGTCCAGGAAAATAGATCAGCACAAGTCAGAAAAGGCAAAGGCAAAAAAATAAATAAAAGATAAATGTTTAGAGTTCCCCAGGACCAAGGGGTCTGCCATAAAACAAGTAAGGTAATAAGAATTAATAAATGGTAAGAGCCGTGGTGGCACAGTGGTTAGAATCTTTTCAGTCTTGCAGGCTAACTCTGCCCATTACCAGAAGTTCAATCCTGACTGCCTCAAGTTTGACTCAACTTTCCATCCTTCTGAGGTGGGTAAAACGAGGACCCAGATTGTTGGGGGCAAGAGGCTGACTCTGTAGACCTCTTAGGGAGGGCATTAAAGCACCATGTAGCGATATAGGGCTATTGCTATTGCTAATATATAACCAGAAGATACGAATAATCTTAACAATGTGAGATTTTAATTAAACATTGCCTTAGGACATCAGTTGAGGACCTGTCAATTTGGAAAGCTTTCCCGCCTCATTTGAAAGACGACAATCATGCTGAACATTAACAGTCAAAGCATTTGATTAAGATCTATATAGCATTGGTTACAATTGACCCTAATCCAACAGGATCATAAAGAGAGCAGAATCCTAATTCAGGATAAAATTAGGGTGGGGGGGATGTTTCCAACTCACCACATGAACTAAAAAGAAAAGAAAAAAGCCGCTGAATAATAAAAAAATAAAATAAAGCAGTTGGCCAATCCCATCTAACCCTCTACCCTAGTTAAAAAAGTCCAAGGCAGATGGGAGATTTCAAATCTCATAAAACATACACACTTACTTGGGAATCAGTCATTTGGTAGAGAACTTTGTAGCCCAGGCAGATTTGGAAAGAATGGAGCTAAAAGTCTATAGAAGTCCATGGGCAGGATGAGAAGTTGAAAGATGATTGTATTGTGTATGTTATTATAATGATGTGAGGATGATTAATGTAACTAAGATGACTAAAATTGTCAATATTATTATTACTATTATCTGATATCAAAGCTAATGATACCCAGATGTCACACTGTTCATGTACACACACAAATAAAAATTAAAATATACAAAAAAAGAAGTCCATGGGCAGAATTAGAAGTTGAAAGATGAGTGTATTATGTATAATGATATATAATGATGTGAGGATGATTAATGTAAGTAAGATTACTAAAACTGTCAATATTATTTCTATTATTTGGTATGAAAGCTAAGGATACCCATATCACACTGTTCATATCATTCCATACTATCTATCATTCTATCCATCTTTATCTATTTTTGTCTCTCTCTCATTTATCTATCATCTCTCTCATTTATCTATCTCTATATCTATACTTATCTATCGTCTCACTCTCTTTTATCTATCTCTATGTCTATCTATTATATCTATCTCTTATCGTCTCTCTCTTTATCTCTCTCTTTATTATATCCATCCATCCATCTTTATCTATTTTTGTCTCTCTCTGATTTATCTATCGTCTCTCTCTTTCTCTCTCATTTCTCTCTGTATTATATCTATCTATACCTATCTATATATCATCATCTCACTCTTATCTATCTCTATGTCTATCTCTATTATATCTATCTCGTCTCTCTCTCATTATCTCTTTTAGCTATCTCTGTCTATCTATAACTATATCTATCTATCTATCTATCTATCTATCTATCTATCTATCTATCTATC